TCAAAAGGAAGATTTGAACAGGATACAACGTTGGTTTCCTCAGTCTGACAAATTTCAAATAACCTAATCACTATAATAGCGATAAACAAAACGGAAAACTTTTTTTTAAAAGAGCAATCAATTTCCTTTATCAGTAATAGATATTTTTTGACTAGCAACAAAAAAAATCTATTGCAGTTATCAGATCACCATTTCGTGGTCAGGTACAATAATGGTTGACAGAAATGTTATAATAAATTAAAGTAAAAAAAAAAATATCAAAAAAATTATTTGGTGAAACATTGGAATGACAGCGATTTTGGGTACAACTAAAGATTACTGTTTTTGAGAACTATTCGAAAAATTTTTCTTGCTATTTAAGGTGGTTAAACAATTATTGGTTGAACAAATTAGAAGTGATATCTGAACAGTCGATTTGCCACTATGAACCATCATTTGTTAAACACAAAATGCCGTATCACATCGAGGCAAAAATGAATTGTTAAATGAACAATCTTTCTTGTTCTTTCACTAAAACAAAAAACTTTGTGTGTTTTGCTAACGTCTAAGGCTAAAATTTTCTGGTTTTTTCCGTGTATTCTTGGTATATTCATTAGATGCCTTACAAAATCATTGTCCGAGTGCTAAAAAAAAAACCAAAATTGCTTCATTCACCTTACTCCAGAAGCAACTTTTTTTTTTTGAAATTAATCCTGTGAACAGTTGTGCGGTATTTGAAGGTTACCCGGAAGTAATACTGTTAAGCCCTTCAAAAGATTTTTATTATTATTATTTTGTATTCATACAACGTTATCTTTGCCTTTCATAAAGTTTTTTATCAGTTTTTTAGTTAAAACTTAATAGCAAACGTCATCGCAGAAGTCGTCATCTAAAAACCACTCATTCATTTATCAGCTATTTATTTAAGAAAAAAAAACCTGTAGATACGATAAAAATTAAAAAAAGAAAGTGAAAAACAGCTAATAATAACCAGGTGCAACTTCTACACAAACAAGCTTCAAAGGCTGATATTTAGTAGATTTAAGTGATGATACCGAAGAGCAATAAAAATGAGAAAGAAAACGAAACCAGAAAAGACTGTTGTTTAAAGATTTTAGGAACAAAAATTTCAACTTTGTAAGCGGTGAAAGCGCTAAAATAACTGACTTCAATAATGATTTGATAGATGTTTAATGATTGAGACTAATTTTTACTATTATTAACAGCATACGTATCAATATTATTATAACGAGAAACAAAATCAAAACCGAAGGGCAACCAGGCTTCACGTCAGTAAGCGATTAAAACTGCTAGAAAGAGCGAAAAACATTGTTGATCAAACATGAGCTCAATTTTCTCTCTTTTTTTCTATTTTTCTCGTTCTTTTTACACTTTAACCTCTGTCTGCTCGTCGGGGAGGGGAAAAAAACAAAGATTTTTAATACCAGTCAGAGACGGGGGGATTCTTTTACCATATTCCAACTTGTCATGACTCACTGACTGCAAGTGTTGATGATGGTGCTTACTCTTTTTTTTAACGTACTTTTTTTCTTTCTTTTTTTTTTTGTGGTATTCAATACTGTTTCTTAAACTTCTTCATAAATATACAAAATGGTTATCATCAAGGAATTCAGCAGTGCCAGCAGTTGTTGCCCAAATGTATCATCGATTACAGAGAGAGAAGAATCCTGACACTTTGTCAACATTGTTTCAAATATTCTTTTTAAACAGTACAACGTTTAATAGTGAAATTCCTCGTTCTTTGCCTTCACTTCTCAAAAAGAATGAAAACCCCCGGTACAAACCAATTATGTAACAAATCAAAAAATTTTTATCACTTTTTCTCAGATTTAAAAAAAAAATTTCCTTTCACCCACGTTCTCTTCCGCTCATAACAAAATTTCTAGAAACTAATCCCTTAAATTCAGAATTCTCAAAAGATTACCGTAACCGTTGAAATATCCTATCAAAAATAATCTTTTTTTTTCGAAGGATGGAGAGCCTGAATAATAAAAATGCTAAAAAAACTGGACTGCGAAGAGAACAGCAAAAGAATTCAATGAAAGAATCACAGTTCAACCGCTGATAATTTTAATGGTTATCCTGCAGTATCGGTGATATAGTCGTTAATACACTTACTTGTATCACATTTAACACTCTAAAAGTGCCAGTTATTATCCGCTAACAAATGGTTGAAAAGAAGAACTGGAAAAAAAA